GCACTTGCTTGACAAGGGGCATAGTTTACAAAACCCAGTGAATTGAGAGAGGATGGGGATAGGTATTTGTACCTGATGGTATGGGCCTGCTCTGAGGGTTTGAAACACCAATTGCACTAACTCCTCTCTCCAGTGTTGAATGTCAGAGCTAACTTTGATTCCATTAGGAGTCTAGTTACAGGCTGCTAAGCTGAATTCATTTTGGGCCCATGGTGCACTAGCACTGGGGCTCCCCTACTATGAGCTGAAATTGCTAAGAGGTGAAATCACAAAAGAGCTAAAGTTATTAAGAGCTGAGATCACTGAGTGCTGTGTTAACTAGTGAGGGAGCCTGAAGCTATATTGCTAAGCAGCTGGTGGAGCAATTTGTGGGGACAACTGGAGGAGCAACATGGAGCCTTTCGGGGCCACTTGGAGCGGCCCAAGGAACAGCGAGCAGAGCTGTTTGCGGGGATGGCTGGAGTGGCTCACAGGTTGATGAGCGGAGCAGCTTGTAGAGCGGATCAGTTTGTGGGATGGCAGGAATTGGACTGGCTCATGGTGAAGGCTGTGGTGGAACCCCACGGAAAGACAACCAGCCGGCCTCGGATCACGTAAGGTGCCCCTTAACACCCTGCGTGCCCCCCCTTTTACTCTGGGGCTACACTGACCAGGGACAGAGACTTTGGGGTCTGTTGGACTTTTGGGACTTTGGGTGGTTGCTGGACCCAAGAGACTTTGGGGGTGTTGGACTTTGGGGACTCTGGGTGATTTTTGGGTTGCTGGATTCATGAACCAAAGGGAAAGGACACAGCCCAATTTGCTGGGGTGGGTTTTTTTTTACCCATGGTTTGTTATGAATCCTGTTTGTGGTGTTTTTCCAATTTAATGCTGATGTCGTTTACCTCATGTTATTAAACATTTTCTGTTACACTCAGACTCCATGCTTGCGAGAGGGGAAGTATTGCCTCTTAGAGGCACCCAGGGGGTGGTATGTAATTGTCCCAGGTCACTGGGTGGGGGCTCGAGCCGGTTTTGTATTGCGTTATTGAAATGGAACCCCTAGATACAGAACCCGGCCCTTGTTGCTGCCAACTTAGATGGGCAGAAGGGTTACATTGAAAAACAAAACTAATTCATCTTAAACCTATAAAACAAGAGTTTTACAAACCAGGAGTGTTGGTTTAGGTCCTAAACACTCCACATATTTACACAATATATTTATACACACATATTCTTTTTTCTTAACATCCCTTACACTGCTTTAATTTTTACACAGCTGTACGTAAAGTACATTTGTATACATTTGGGGGCAGATAAGTTCCAATAGAAACCCCTTATTCTTTTAGGGAATTTGACTAAATTGTTCATAGTCAAATGATTTCAATCAGATTGTCTCTTTGCCTGGCTTATTTACAGACATTCCTTTGGAAAAGGGCCCATTTTTCCTTCTGAATGGCTGCAAATAAACCAATAATTCTCTTTCTATAACTTTTCCTTTTTAACATTTTTACAACATTCAACTGCTTAATTCCCTCCAGCCTCTGAAGAGTTAACTTCTCACTCTCTTTCCTAAAATCATTTGCTTATCTCCCCAAATGACACCTTTATCAACTCAGATTTCACCATTCCAAGTATTGTTCCAGGGATCTGAATTCCCATGCTTGTACTTACTGCTTCCCTTACTCCTGCCACTGTGCCCTCAGGGCTTCCAACCTGTTTTCCAATTTTCTTTTTTATCTGTTGCCTGCCTGCTTGTTTGTGTTACCCGGGGTTCTTTCAACCCAAAGCTCTTGGTAACTTTACTCTGTGCGAGGAGGTGTCAGGAAATAAATCAGGGGGAGACGGCTGTCCGACCGATAGATGGCTGGCACAAACAGGACAACACAAGAGTGCTTTCACTTAAAGCTAAACTTTACTAGTCTCAAGCACTTACACACGTCTGCAACAAGATTAGTAAAACACTCCCAACCCTTGATAATTACCAAAGCTGAGTGTGGTTTTCAAGTGACACAGTGGCAAGCTTCCGGTGGCCAAATCTTCCGTCCCCCAGTGGGGACCGCAAGATGTATCCAGAGGGAGAGTCCAAAAAAGTCCCCAAACAAGTCCAACTATCTCAAACTTTTCCCCCTTATTTATACACTAGTAATAGAATGACATGTCCCTTAAAGAAACCTTGTTAAGTAAGCAGTTTCAAGCAAGAGGTTCCTTCTGATTATTGATTAACCAGGTGTGGGTTTTTCCAGAGTCTGCAGCTCTGAGACCCCAATAGACATTCCTGCTATTTTAAAATGCATGTATCAGCAACTTCAACACAATTCTTATCAGGAAGGATGTGGGGTCAAGCTGCTCCTTCCGTGCTACCCCAAAAACCCCTCCCTTCCTGCCTTGGTCAAGCTGAGTTTGCTGAATGGCCAATTTACAGCTTGCTGACTAGGTTGCTTTTTAACAATAAGCCATAGTGGTTTTAGGCACTTTACTGGTTTGCCAAAGTCTCTCCCTACAGTCTGGGTCTGATCCTGCTTTCCTCACTGAACCATCCCTTTTCATGGACGCAGGCTTTGTTCCACTACCAATTTAGCAAGGAGGGTGGGCTCCTCAACTAGCCTCTGCCCCTCCTGGTCCCTTTCCTTAAACATTTCTCTCAAAATTGTGAAATTACCACAATATCACTTCCAAAATATACTACACTGCCCAAACTCCTATATCCTTCAGAGTTTGGTTTAACAGAGCAAGATCTGTTTAAAAAGAGCAATCTCTTGAACAAAGTATTGTCTTTGGATTTCTTCCTTTTAAACATTTTTACACAGGTGCTACTACTATTTGCCCACACTTCTGTATTCTTCAGAGTTGGGTCTCATAGAAAATACCGCCTGAACATATTTCTTTATGAATCTCTTTTACCTTTATAAGTCTTCCGTGCAAACGCTCATGCTAGGACTTACAAAACACAAAAATCTATACCCACTAAAAAAACCCAAAGACCTCTGCCTGTCAGAGCAGGAGGAGGGAACGCGAAGCCCCCTACCTTTTGGGCTTGATCCTGCTATGACTGAGCACTGAGGGTATATTCACCTATGCAATTTCCCCCCGACAGACAGGTAGGAGCGAGGACTCTAATTCTCCCCCTTATGGCCTGCCACCTCTATGACCAGGGTATATATACCTAGACAGTTTGGATATATCTTATCTGTATAGTTTTCCCTGACAGACAGGTTGGAGTGAGGACTCTAATCCTCCCCCTATTGTCCGGCACTTCTACGACCGGGGCTGTGCACATCTGAATGATCGATCACTTTATATGTATGGTATACTTTTTAGCAATATTTAGCAGTATGTTCAACAATCACAGTGCATGTCTTCCCTCTTTTGCAATTCTCCACCAAAAAATGTTATGTTTATAAGAAGCACACGGGATCTTTTTCAGGGGAAAAGACAATATACCCTGTTTATTGAAGATACAACAATTAGCATATGCATTCAATCACACCACACACACCGCCAGTCAATGTTATAGTTACCAGTCCAGAGTCCGGATCAATCTAGTGGCCAGTTAGGTTGATCACGGGTAGGTAGGAGCCAAGTTCTGTCAGTCGCGACATGATGCTCGGGGGTAGTCTTGGCAGGATGAACCCAAAGTTTCATGGCAAGGCACGCTGCTTATATAGTGATTTTCCTTCATTGGGCCCAATGAGTTTTGCATCATCATGATGTAATCAATTGTTGTTTGACAAGTTCTTGTTTTCTTAAATTGTCCTTCTCATTCTTTATCTTGTTTTTTCATCAAATTTCTCAGGGAGTTATCCCATGCTGTTTTGATCACTGCTATCTTGTCCCCATTGATAGGTGCCTGTCTCATCTTTAGAGCTGTAAATCTGCCCTCCTCTGACATTTCAATAGGGGCGGGTTGCAGCCTCCTGGCACCCTTGCATCTGTCTCCGGTTCCTCCCTTGTACATCTGGTTCAGCGATGACCTTCACACTTATCTCTTAACACATACGTTCCTCATTCACACACAAAACAGAATTAATATACACAGAACATTTTGAACAGGAACATCAAATTGCAATGCAAAATAAATGATGGCATTCTTTTACTTATTTTAAAATGCTAAACCTACAACAAAGTCGTGACCTAAAACATCTGTTATTGCCTTGAAATCAGCCCAGATACAGATTACGGCTCATGCCTCTTTACTAAATAACCCATTAGGCCAATCCTTTCTGCTATTCAAAAAGGGTAGCTAGCAGGATATGATCAAATCATACACCAATACAATTAATACATGCTACATTATTATCTTATTATTCTTTATCCTTCATTCTAAATCATACAAAATACAAACATAAAATCCTACTACTTACAATAGAACTCTCTGGGGATGGAGCAAAAGATCAGTCTCTGATACCTCCTGTAAAATGGCACGTCTCTGCTCTAAAGCATGGAGACACTGTAGCTTTAATGGTAGTAAAAAAAATTGTACCATGGGAAAACAAGCTTAACACCCTTTCTGGAAAAGGCTGAAACATTTTTGCTTAAATTTAAAAAAATAATTCAGCCTGACTGGCTCTTAATGACCCTTGCAGAAAGTCCTAGTTCTTGCCCACCATTTACATGAAAGAACCATTTCCATTTCCAGTGCCAGGAGAAAGGAGACCCAGAAGAAGCCTCCATGCCTCCTGCACATCAACTGATGCATGGGAGTGGTCAAATTATCTGATCAAATATTACAGTCCATGATGGGGTGTGCATACCCTGCACAAGGTAAGAAAGGGTTAATTTCACACTATGACTGGAGGAAGTCCCACCCCTCAGACCTTGCTGGGCATGTTCCAAGTGCTGTGTTAGTATAAAGGAGAACTAGATAAATTCATGGAGGTTAAGTCCATTAATGGCTATTAGCCAGGAGGGGTAAGGAATGGTGTCCCTAGCCTCTGTTTGTCAGAGGGTGGAGATGGATGGCAGGAGAGAGATCACTTGATCATTACCTGTTAGGTTCACTCCCTCTGGGACACCTGGCATTGGTCACTGTGGGCAGACAGGATACGGGGCTGGATAGACCTTTGGTCTGACCCAGTATGGCCATTCTTATGTTCTTATGTTCTTAACAGCTCAGCTTAGTCTGGGCTGGCCACTGAGGAAGAAGCATGCTTGGTGGAGGCTCCAGGCTAGGAGCTGCTACAGCCCCTGACTGCAAGAACCAGAGATCTCAGGGACCAGACTGGAGACCTGCTAACTACAGTCAATTGGTGAGAGTCAAAGTTCCACGGAGCTGCCAGTGCCAGAGAACCCAGAGACCCTGACGATATATGGACGACAGCAGGAGTGGGTAAACTTTTTGGCCTGAGGGCCATATCTGGGAATAGAAATTGTATGGCAGGCCATGAATGCTCACAAAATTGTTGTTGGGGTTCAGGAGGGGGTTAGGGCTCTGGTTGGGGGTGTGGGCTTCGGGATGGGGCCAGAAATGAGGAATTCAGGTTGCAGAAGGGGGCTCTGGGCTGGGGTGGAGGAGTTGGGTGCAGGGTAGGGAGGGTGTGGGCTGCGGCTGGGAGTGTGGGCTCTGGGGTGGAGCTGGGGATGAGGAGTTTGGGGTGTAGGAGGGTACTCTGGGCTGGGATCGAGGGGTTTGGAGGGCAGGAGGGGTATCAGGGCTGGGGCAGGGGGTTGGGGCATGGGGAGAGACTCAGGGGTGCAGGCATTGAGTGGCAGTTACCTCAAGTGGCTCCCAGAAGCAGCAGCATGTCCCGTCTCCGGCTCCTATGTTGAGGTGTGTCCAGGCGGCTCTGGACGCTGCCTCATCTGCAGGCACCGCCTCTGCAGCTCCCTTTGGTTGCGGTTCCTGGCTAATGGGAGCTGCAGGGTCAGCGCTTGGGGCAGGAGCAGTGTACAGAGCGGAGGCCGCTGGCTGCTCTTACACATAGGAGCCAGAGGGAGGGCCATGCCGCTGCTTCCAGGAGCCGCGTGGTGTGGCCCCTGACCCTGCTCCCTGGATGGAGCACCAGAGGGGGGCCATGCCGCTTTCTGGGAGCCACATGGAGCAGCCTCCGACCCTGGTTCCCAGCTGGAGCACCGGAGACCCTAGCGGGTGCTCAAAGGCTGAATTAAAATGGCTGACAGGCCAAATCCAGCTCACGAGCCATAATTTGCCCATCCCTGGACTACAGCTTCAGGAAACAAGGTAGAAAGTGGCCCAGGGAGGCAGAGTGAGTGGTATCTCGTACCAGTGTAAGGTCAGCATGTTGCAGTAGGATCCTGGCTGGCTAGGTGGCAAATGCACTCAACCTGAGATGGCCTTGGGCTGGGACCCGGTGGCGTCAAGTGTTCCCAACTTCCCTTACTCCAGCCGCTACCCCCCTTTTGAAGAAGCTCCCAGATCTGGCTATTAGGCCTTGCAGCCCTGAACCAAATGGTGACCATATTGACTCTGGCCATTAGGCCATGCAGCCCTGTACTTTACGGTGCCATATTGACTCAGGCCATTAGGTCATGCAATCCTGAATCCAAGGACAGCCATGTTGACTCTGGACTTAGTGAACCTAAATGTTCGAGTTCAAGGACAGTCCAACCTTTCCAATGATATCTCACATGACCCATCTTGCATAGAACACATCTTAGTCATGCCATATTAATATCATAAGAATACCTCTATGAAGAACATGGGGTGTAGGGTCACAACACTTCTGGCAGGGCAGTTGTTAGCAGGGATCAGGAGGACCTAGAGAGAACTCCTGGCTGGTTGCTGAGACTTGCAGGCTTGACACTCTGAGAAGAGGGTGAAGAATGTGCTGGGGCTGAGAGGAAGCGGCCCCGGGAATTGAAGTGGCACTGGTGGAAGAAGTTAAGGAGAGGAAGCAGAAGCTGTTATCTACAAGATCCCGGGGCTTGGACCCAGAGTACTGCAGACCTGGTTCTCTGCCACTCACCACTGGGGAAATGGCTGGATTGGGAGATATTTCCCAACCCAGTGCACCATCACCCTGGAATGGAGGAGAACAGATCATGGCATGGCTGGATGGCCGAGTCATAAAGAGGATGCTGCAGTACTTGGACTGAGGTGGGTCTGCAAGCAGAGACGACGATGGACAAGGCACCACCAGGAGAGGGAACACCAGCTGAGTGAGCTAATTCCTGAGACAAAGAGCAGGAGGTGCCACCCTGGCTTTCACTCACCATGGTTAGTGAACCCCATTACAGGGACTGAGTGCATGCCCTCCCTTTTCTGGGGGTCTGGCAAATCTCTGCCAAGAGAGGCTGAGCTGCTTTGTGAGCCCATCCAGGGTTCTGATACTATCCAGACATATGAGTGTCCTCAGGGCAACACAATTGCAAAAGTGAGTAGGGGCACGCTGCAGCACACACCACACTTGCTGGCTTAGCCTTGTGCATGCTCGGGTGGCCACCTCCTTGTTGATGAGACCTTGTTGATGATTCTACTACCGTCTTACTGGAGCTCCAGTCTGCCCTGCTGCCATCCCTGTCTGTGTTGCTGTTGTCTTCTCTAGCAGTTGACTGGAAGGTGCACATTGGCCCCATGCCATGTAGCCATGTTGTCTTGAAGGGCGAAAGCAGGAAGCATGGTGCCTTCATAGCCCACCCTATATTCCATAACATAATTAAGGAAAATATTTCTCAATGAACTCGCAGTAAAATATCAGAAAGAACCAGTGTCCGCATCATGCTAAGGGCATTGGTATTTTCTTTAAATTTGCCAGACCAACCTAACAGCTAACACACATTTAATCTATTCTTTTCACACCGTTGCGCATTCTCAGGGTCTGCTTTATCTCCAGACAGATCCATTCTCTTCAGAACAGCTTTGCTCTTTCTGTCTGTTTCGCTCATTGAGGTGTCGGAGTAAACAATCCCCTTCACTCTATTCTCAGACAAACACTAGTATTAACTGTTTGCTACTGACGGGTTTAGAAAGCATTTGTCAAGTGGAAGATGACAATTTCTGGGGGATTGTTGCCAAGACCCAATACTTTGTGTTCAAACATCTCCCAGCTTCCTTGGTGAAAATAAGAACAAGTTTCCTTGCAGTATACAAGAAGAAAGTAGTTTTTCACCCCAGATGGGACTTGAACCCACAATCTTGGGCTTTGGAAGCCAATGCCTTAGCCATTAGGCCACTGGGACCCTGAAGTGTAACTTGTAGAGGGATGGACATTCCCTCTCATAATTGCACATTCCTCACACTAGTTTGGAAGCCAAATACCCCCTTTCTGCACCTTACAGAAATGTCTGCATCCCCTGGCAGCGAGGCAACTGGGCAGGTCGCTGACAGAACTGAGCACCACCTTTCTGCCAGCCATCTTTATAGAGAAGAACCCAAACCTAGAGTCACACCTCCCTCCATCAGCACCTCCTAGTCTGTGGCTCTGAGTGGCAGTAGGATGATTAGGGGGTGAATCTGGGGTTGGAAGGGGGGTAAGGTCAGCCTGTAAGGAGTAACCAGGTGGGGCAGACCCAGGGTGAGGCTGTGGGCTGCTGGTTGGTTGTTGGGATCAGAGCTCTAGATCAAAGCTGCACCGCAACCTGACACCCAGGGTTATAAGACAGACATAGTGAACCCCTTACTGGCCTTGTGAACCCCAAGCCCTTGTAGCTAAGGGCATTTAGGAGTCTCTGTCCCTTAATAACTTCTGGGAGCTTCCCAGCAGGCTGTGGGCATCAGCTGCCTCCTGCCTCACAGGTCAGACTCTTGGCACTGTGCAAGCTGCCCCATTGCTGAAGGCCCAGTATAAGAAGGAAGCCCGGTGCTAGCAGAAGAGGGTTTTGATTAATCAACCTATGTAGTATGGGCGCAGCACGCTTCCACTGTGTCACTCTGCTGGCTTTTCCTAAGCAGCAGCTAGCGGTCCTGGCTCCAGGCTAGTGCCTTGCGAGCTCTGGCACTGGCTGGAAGCGGTGCAGGGTGCTGGACAGTGGCTCTGGATGCTGGTAGGTGTCTCTGTGGTATCTTGGGTCAGTGAGTTCAGCTGTTAATCAAAAGGAGGGTGGTTTATGCTCCCCCAGGGATGTTGCTGAAGGCATGCTCCTGATAGGCTCCGCAAGGTCTGCTGGGAGCCGTGAAGTCCCCATTTTGCTGCCTTGAAGGACACAGTGGGTTCACCTGCTGGCAGGAAGAGTGTGAGGGCCGCACCGCAAAAGCCCATCTCTGAGAAGCCATGCTGGGGACTTGGGCTTAATCCAAGTGTAAAATCTGACAGCCACACAGAACTGCCTAGCATCCTGAAAGGCTCCCTTGTGTGCTCCCACAGCAGCCACCTGCCGGTGTGGTGAGAAAAGGGGACGAGGAAGCATTGCTACCTCAGGGCAGGGCAGGAGGCCCTCTCCAAGTGCAGGCCTGCCTCCTGCCTTCAGCCCAGGGAGCCAGAGAGCTCCCTGGCAGGCCGCTGCCTCAGCCACCACTTGCTTCAGGGCATAGGCTCTTGGTGCTCTGCTAGTTGCTGCCTCTCTTGAAGGCCCAGAGCAAAAACCCACAAGTAAATCCCTAGCAGAGGATGGTTTTGATCTATCAACCTCTAGGTTATGGGCCCAGCACACAGCTGCTGCACCACTCTGCTGACTTTTCACTAGCAGCCCCCATCACCCAGTCTCCAGCATCCAGACCTGTGCCTTGCGAGCTCTAGTGCTAGCAGGCAGGTGCGCAGGCTGCTAGGCAGCATCCTGGGTAACAGCAGCCTTGTATCTATGTGTCTCTGTGGTGTTTGGTTGTTAATTGAAAGGATGGTGTGTCAAGCCCACCCAGGGACAGTGGTAAACCCCTGTTACTTTCTTGCTCCTCAACACCTGCTAGGAGCTAGTTCCCCGTGAGGACACACCAGACATCACTGCTATCTACCTAGGGGAGAACCACCTGGGAATGTTCTCCTGGCCCACCTGATTTGGAAGGTTAAACAGGATAGCGGACAACACAGCAATGTGCGGCTAGGTCTCTGA